ATATATATATATATATCTTCCTTTTTTTAGTGAAAAGTTGAAATTTGTATTTTATTTTTAATATTGTTATTTTGTTGTATTTTATTAGTCATAGGTTTATTGAGGAATGCATTTTATATGTAAATAACGATGATGATGATGATGATAAAGAAATTGTTTTATTGCTGATTGAGGTTCAATGACTGTGCTAAATGACATATCAAAAATGGGACGCGAGTTTCAACCCAGAAGTCACCTAATTTGCATAAATATGCAAATTAGCTTCCACCATTAAAGGAAAATGGTGTATTCGCAATATTTCTGCATCTAAACATTCAATCATGACAAGGAAAGTGTTCATAAATATGTTTTAAGGGTTAGGGAATATTAGTATATTTGTGAATTATCATATGCATATAATTATGGTAAATATGCAAATAATCGGTTATTATTACAATAAAATTGATTTTAGGCAGCTTTTTGTGTCTTGAGCATTTGCATATGACAAATAAAGTCTCCAAAGCCATGTTTTCAGGGTTACTAAATATGTTTAGCATATCTGTGAATTATTTATATGCACAGGAGGCCTATAAGCCATGTTGAATGTGCAAACTAGCTTCCAGCATTACAGAAAAAAATATTCGCAATAATTCTGCATTTAAGTATTCAATCATGTCAAGCAATCTGTCCATACCCATGTTTTAAGGGTCAAGGAACATTTTTACCATAATTATTGAATTAATTATATGCATATAATTATGTTAGATATGCAAATTAGCTGCCGCCATTAGAGCAAAATTGATTTACTATAATAACTCTAAGCATTCAATCATGACAATTAAAGTGTTTATATAAAATAAATTTTATTTAACAAAATAATGATAATAAAAACAATAATAAAAAAAATAATAATAATAAAATAATTAGTAAGTATATAAGTATGGTACAAAGATATGTCCACCCAATAGTAGTGTATGATAAGTACCTGCAAAAATCAACTGTCAAAACAGTGACACACCAAAAAAATACAGGGGGACCATAATAATAAGCATTTCTACTTCTTATGACCAAAAGAAAAAGCACATTTAATATTTATTGAATTGATGTTTTTATCAGATTAACTAATGAACAATGTCAACAATTATCTAGTATATTAGTTTTATTTTACGTAAGTTAAATAAAATGAAATGAATCACACTAGTCCTGATATCGTTAGATTATGTATAACTGTAAAACACGTATCCGAAAAACACCTTTTCATAATCGTTCACAAAACAGAAATAAAAAACTCGATTAAAGACGACAAAACAGAATGGAAAACCTAAATTGTATTCACACAATAAATTTTACAATATTTGTATCTGTCGATACTGTGGAGAATCTGGCATATTTATCTGAAAAAAAGTTCATAATTTCGATACTATGCTATAATAGACTAAGACTTACATTAGGCTATATCGCGAAAGCTCCGTGTTGAATTATAAATAAGCCCTAACAATTATTAACCAATCTCAGTGATATGTCACATAGCCAAAATTGTTGAAAAGCAAGTCCAAGATCAAATTAATAAATATCTCGATGATAATGACCTTATAAATGTACCAATATGCTTTTAGGAAGTACTTCACATCTGCTATAATGCCTTCACAGTTTAATAGATCTTTTTATGGATTCTGGGGCGGATGCAGAATTTTACGGTAGGGTTGTGGCTGAAGTGAGAACCTTTTGAGAATTGACCTCAGGTGCCCAGAAATTGCACTCTTATACCTTGAAAAGTCTCATATCAACAATACAATACAACAATTAATTTTCTTAATACAATTAAATTAAATATTGGTTTATTGTACGAAGGCTGGAACGTGAACACTCCTTTCTTGTTGCCCCCTAATCAATTGAAATTGGCACACCACAAGGTAGTGTCACGGGTCCAATTATATTTTGGTTATTATTCATAAACAAAATTTATTTTGCCTAGTACTTGCAGTATTTTTGTGGATGATGTTGCTATTTATGTTTCAGGAACACAAGTTAATGGATTAAATACAAAATTGCAAAATATTGTAGAAAATATTGATAAATTGTATGTCGGAAATAAGTGAAAATGCAGTTAAAACAAAAGTCATGCTAATTAGAAACCATAATATACTATCATCTGATCTCATAAATATTCATGTCGACAGAAGACGTATCAAACAAGTAAAACATATAAGATATTTGGGTTTGAGTACGAAAAGTTAACATGGGATTATCATATACGACACATACGTCTGTAATCTCCTAGATTCATAATCTAGGAAAATTGGCAGAAACATTGCACCAATCTCTTCTTATTACATAAGCACAATCGAACCCTGTATAGATTATGTAATTTCGGTTTTGGGAAACACATCTGAGGAAAATATATTGTATAAAGACTGCAACAAGAATTATATAAACACAGTTTTGGTTACAGAAAACTGCCGTGAGGAAAACAATTATTTAACAACTAATTTCATGCTTAATGTACAAATACTATATGACACCAAACCTCCCTTTCCCTTCACTCGTTAGTATAATGAAACTGAAATGATTTTCTATCGACATGGATATTACAAACTCAAACACTTTGAGTGTTGTTGCACTGATTGCAGTGCCATCTTTCTTTCACTGTAGATTTCCATCTAGTGTTCCAGTGACAGTTTTTACAACAGGCATAAGGGCCTATGCCCCTGCCTATGCATCTATAAATGATTATTTTTAACAATTTTAAATTATAATTTGCAGTATTGCAGGTTTTTATTTATGTATTGCTTTATTAGATTTTTTTAATAAAGGGGTTCGGATCAGGGGCCCCTGGAGGTCGCGAGCCCAGGTTCGATGAAGCTGCGGTAGTTACGCCACTGGATGAATTGTGCTACTTTAAGAAACAAATTATGTACATATCTGCACCACATCTGGTCTTTATGGGATAGGGAAAGGTTGTGTAGTAGGCTCTAAGAAATCTGATAAACTTATACAAACAGGTGAATGTTTAAGGTCAAGTTCAGCTAGTCATGATGACATCAGGTAGGCTGGGGCAAAAACTTCTGTATGTCTGTATAGCGGACGCAATATACCTTTGAACGTTCTCCGAAGAGAAAGGTTTGGCGACAAGGTAGTAAAAAGCCTTAAATGTGTTGACATTCAAAGACTACCACCAACAGAAGATTCTGCCAAGTACCATTACAGAGTTAATCTACAGACTCAAGTATGGATGGGGAATGTAAGACTAAAACCCGTAAATTGGGGATGAAAGTACAGTGTGGGAATTTATTGCCTTAAACAATGGACTGTAAGCCAGCTCCCGATGCCTTGTTAACAATTATACGGTGCAAGTGCAAAGAATATTGTGACACAATGATCTCCACATGTAACCAAAAATGGAATGTTTTGCACCGACTGCTGTGGAAAGTGTCAGGATGGACTTTTTA